CTTTATAGCTGCAAATGCCTATTAAGAATGAAGATCTCGGGCACCTGGGTAGCTCAGTTGGTTAAGCGACTGCCTTTGGCTCAGGTCATGATCCCGGAGTCCAGCAATTGAGTCCTGTATCGGGCTCCCTGCTCAGTGGGGAGTCTGCTTCTCTCTCTGACCTTCTCCCCTCTCATGCTCTCTTTCATTCTCTCTCTCAAATAAATAAATAAAATCTTAAGGAAAAAAAAAAAGGAATGAAAATCTCAATCCAATAACCTAACATTCCACCTAAAGAAAATGCAAAAATAGCACACTAAACCCAGAAAAAGAAAGAAAAAACAAGGACTATAAAAGAAATTAATTAAACAGAGAACAGAAAACCAGTATAGAAAATCAACAAAAGCAAATGCTGGTTTTTTGAAAAAACACCAAAATTGACAAATCTTTAGGGAGACTGACCAAGGAGAGAGGACTTGAATTACTAAAATCAGAAATAAGAGAGGGGATATTACCATGGTGCTGCAAAAATTCTGAAACCCATTAAAAAGAAACAGAAAGCCTCAGCAGACTTATAATAAATAATAAGACTGAATCAGTCAGTAATCAAAACCTTCTACAAAAAAACACCAGGACTGAATGGCTTCAAGCTTGAAACACTTAAAGAAGAATTAACATCAATCCTTTACAAACTCTTCTAAAAGAAATAGAAGTGAAAGGAACACTTCCCAATTCAATGTATGAGTCCGGTATTACCACGATTATCAACATGGTTAACATCATAAGAAATGCAATCTAAGGACCAGTATCTCTTATGAATATAGCTGCATAAATACTCAACAAAATACTAGCAAACTGATTGTATAAGCAAAAATAAGGATCATACACCATGGCTAAATGGGATTTACCACGGGAACACAATTAATGTAAAAGAATAAAAAACAAAAATCATGCCGTTTCAATAAACAAAGGAAAAACATCTGGAAAAATATAATACCTTCTCATGATAAGTCAGTGAACTAGGAATAGAAGAGAATTTCTCTAACCTGATGAAAGTTAACTACAAAAAACCCACAGCTAACATCAAACTTAGTGATGAAAGACTGAATAGTATCCCTCTAAGATCATGAACTAGACAAGGATGTCCACTTTTGCCACTTTCACACTGCACTGGAGGTTCTAATCAGGGCAATTAGACAAGAAATAAATGGCACCCAGTTTAAAGGAATAAGGAAAACTGCCTCTACTTACAGATAACATGATCTTGTGTATAGAAAATCCTGAGAAATTTACAAAAAAATTACACGAGTTCAGCAAGGTTACAAGATTACAAGGATACAAGATTAATGCACAAAAATCTGGTGTATTTGGGGGCACCTGGGTGGCTCAGTTGGTTAAGCATCTGCCTTTGGCTCTGGTCCTGGGATTGAGTCCTGCTTCAGGTTCCCTGCTCAGTGGGGAGCCTGCTTCTTCCTCTCCTCCCCACTCATGCTCTCTCTTGCTGTCTCTCTCTCTCAAATAATAAAATGAAAAATCTTTTAAAAAATAAATCAGGACTATTTCTATACATTTGTAATGAACAATCTGAAAAGAAAATTAGGAAAATTAGAATACTTAAGAATAAATTTGATTAAAAAAACATACAACTTTTACACTGAAAACTACAAATACTACTGAAAGAAATTAAGGAAGAATAAAGTGTTAGAGAGTTATGGATGAGAGGACTACTTTATCCCCAGAACACTGAAGAGATTTAGGACTTTGAAGCAAGGAACTAAAAACTGAAGTTGGTGGTGTAATTATGCATATGGAGCAGGTTAATCTATACTTTCTCCCTCTTCATCTTGTTAGAGAACAGTCTCAGCAGGGGAGGATACCTGAAAACTCTTCTCTAGAAAATTAAATAACTCCTCCCCAAAATTTTTCAAGTTTTTTTTTTGTTGTTTTTGTTTTTTGTTTTTTTTTTTTTGAAACAGAGAGACAGAGAGCACAAGCAGAAGGAGAAGGAGAGCCTGATGTGGGACTGGATCCCCAAGACCCTGGGGTCATGACCTGAGCTGAAGGCAGATGCTTAACCAACTGAGCCACCCAGGCATCCCTGCCCCAGAAATATTTTATGCCAACTTTTTGGCTCCTCCAACAAAACAGCTGTCTCCTTGCCCATTTCACAAAATAAAGCTCAGCCAGTTGCCAAGACCTGCTCAAGTACATGGAACTTCCAACCAGTTTTAACACTTACTTAAGCAGGGGTGTACAGTCCAGGATCAGTGCATAAAAGAAAAAATCCTCTAGCATAAAAGGGAAAACACACACAATCATACCATAAACAGACAAAGTAATCCAGAGGAAAGCAAAGGTAATTCAGCTATAGATGAAAAACCTAAAAAAAGAATACACTATTTACTATTCTTAGAGATACCTAAGATATAGCCCTCAACAAACGGAAAATCCTAAAATGAAAAATAAGATTACTCATGATAAAACATTGATGGAAGAGAAAATAAAGAACTCAAGGTAATCTTTTAAAGAGTAAAATAAAAAGATAAAGGGAGAGACAACATGATAGAGAGAGAAAGACACTGAGGAGATGATTCCAGGATGCTCAACATTCAGCCAAAAGAGATTCTAGAAAAAGTAAACAGAACATAGAGAAATCATTCAAGAAATAATAATTTTCCAGAATTGAGGGACATGAATCTCTAGTCTGAAGAGTCCACTGATCATCAGCACAAGGAATTAAAAAAGATGAACGGGAAGGCACATCATTATTACATTTCAAAATACTGAAAAACAACAAATGAAACAAACAAAAGATCCTGAATGTCTGTGAAAGAAAAATAAGGTCACGTGTGAAAGAACAAAGATTACAAAGGCACTGGCCTCAACAGAACTGGATTTAAGAATAACATCTTTTAAGTTTTACTATCTTGAATTTCTATTCTTGGTTAAACAATCAATATATGGCAAAATACATATCTTCAAATACAAAGATAAATAAATTATATTTCATATACTATTTCTTATGAAGTTACAAGAGGATACATTCCAGCATAACAAGTTACTATCAACCCAGGAGAACAACAAAGGGAAACAGGCCCATGTTAACAGTGGGGCAGCCAGAATGGAAAGCAGCTGGTCCTCACTGAAGCAGGAAGATCTATGGTTCTAAGACAGAGATCTCCAAGAAAATAAATATGACTTACTGGACAACTTTGGTTTAAAATAAAGTTAAAGACAGGAAGAAAAGGAACTCCATCAATTGCTGGATGGAGGAGAGAAAGAAGCTGTTCAAGGAAGTAAAATTCAATGAACTAAAACTAAACTTATTTTTATATTGAGAAGAGAGTCAGGAAGTCAACAGACAAGCTTACACTGGATAAAGCAAGAAACTGCAGAAGGATGACATTATTAAGAAATATGGAAGACTTCCAAAATAAATAGGAACAAATATGAAAAAGCAAATGTTTCTGGTAAGCAGGTGGGGTACAGCAATATAGGCAGTTAATTTTTCTATTACATATCTTCAAGAACTCCTTGATTAAAGTACTGTACATGTATTAACTAGATAAAGATGAGAAACAAAATACTTTGAAATGCTTGAAATACTTTGGTCACAGCGAAGTTTTTATTTTCTTAGCTATTTAACCAGTATTTGTCTGAATTTAGTGACTTACAGTGCCTACAATGGAATCCAAGGCCTTACACTGAAGGGATTACAAATAGCACATGGTTATTACTCCCCTAAGAAATCCGTAAGAATTTCAACAATAAGATTACTCACTGTAAGTTAAACCTCAAACCATACTAGATAAAAGCAGAGAAACTCTAAAATTCATCTAAAAGAGATGGAATGACATTAGGCTAAGAACTCAGAACAACTTAATGGCATTAATATACCTAAAGAAATACTGTTAATCCAAAAGGGGCTTCGTCAGCAATTGAGGCACAGAAAGAGACAATGCTGGCTTGTCTTCTCCATTGTTCAGGGGAGAGAGTATGTAAATTCCCACATATTTCTAAAACAAAGACAAATGTATACTGGTCCTTATAAAAAGTCTATGACATCATCTAACTCCTTGATGTGGTTCTATTCTTATCAAGCACACTTCTGACATCATTACTTAATTTTCCCTATAAATATGCCAATAGGGAAAGAATGCAAAGATCATAAAATGAATGTTTGGCTTATTTAATTTTATACTTCTCATCAGTATTATTTTTATTTTATATGTCAACCTTTGTGACTTTAATTAATGCTGCCTGCTCAGAAAGATGAATTGCTGTTGATGTGCTATCAAAAATCAGGTTAATGACCTTGCAGGATAGAGGTACAAGTGAGAATGCACAAAATTCACAAAGGGATGGCCACACTGGATGGCAGGCAGTGGGGAGGGGGGTGTCTGAGGATCCAGGTTTCCCTCTTCTCTTTACACTAAAATGAGTAAAAACAACAACAACTACAACAAAAAAACCAAAACATTTTTTCAGATAAACATCAGTTATACAAGAAAATACAAAGTTAATGCTGATTTTTTTTTAATGATATTGTGGTTTAGCATTTTTTTTTTAAAGATTTTATTTATTTATTTGACAGAGATCACAAGCAGGCAGAGAGGCAGGCAGAGATAGAGGAGGAAGCAGGCCCCCCGCTGAGCAGAGAGCCCGATGCGATGCGGGGCTGGATCCCAGGACTCTGAGATCCTGACCTGAGCCGAAGGCAGCGGCTTAACCCACTGAGCCACCCAGGCGCCCCAAGTTAATGCTGATTTTGCCACAACTTCTAACACTTGCATTTAACCAGCATTTCTGTACTAAAGAGTTTGGAGAAGCAACTGCCACTGGGCAGCAAGCCAACAGAGCTATAGCACTAGTTCAAGACAGCTGTAGAGTCACTGAGTTTTTCAGTATCTTCTACTTGTTCATTTCCACTGGCATAATAAAAAATTATTTGGGAATAAAAATAATAATCTGCCCTACCCTACTCTTTGATGCCAATTAAACAGCAAAAAGAGAAAACTTACATGGCACTGTGGTTCCAAATCTAGTGGGATTCAACACTATGAACCTGTTTTTCAAGCTTCTTCGTCCCACACCTTGGGCTCCTATCAATACTAATGTCTTTCTCTGGAAAGGAGGCATTTTGGCTACTTCCTCATATATCTGGATTTCATGACGATCAAATTCTAAATGTAAAAGGAAATGGAGAATTGTGATACTCAGTTATCTTTTAGAAGGATGAAAAACCTCTGCAATTCTGTTCAGTAAAGGCTTGGTTGTCTGACAGGTAAATATCCCTTGAATTGTACTAACTTACTATAGATTAGTTTTTATAAATGTGTTAAGTTCAAAGAACTATTTTTTATCTTGATTTAAACATCTGCTTCTATCCATTTGCTCTTAAAAATTTGTCTAAGCAAGAAAATGCCTGTGCTTTATCTTTATCATACATTCTATCCATCTATCTAGGCTTTTTTATCAATTCTCAGTAGAAGTAGTTCCTTTAATATATATAATCAAACTGCAAATTACCTTAAGTAATTTGTTCAGCCACTAATGTGTATCAGACATAAAAGATGTCAGTATACCTAGTGTGGCTGCTTAAATAAGTCCCACAGAATGAGTATGACCTTCCAATCATACAAATGAAAACATCCTGTGTGTTGACTCAGCAAATACCAGTATGATTAAATAAAATGCATAAAAATATACTGATAATTACATTTTAAGATTATGAATTTATGTATAAAATGTTGGAGCCAAACTATTTTCAGTCAAAACACATTCCAAAATTAAATCTTGTTCAATGAGAAAATTGCAAGTTTTCTATTTTGCAAAAAAGCTGTAAGAACATATATTTAATGAATAATAAGGACAAAGTGGATTTGAAATAGTACATTACCTGTTATTAGGGTTATAACTCTCAATCTGCAGTAATAACACTTCTTCCTTAGGTTATTATCTTAACAGCAACTTCTTCTTTGCATAATTTCTCCACAGAAGATTAAACCAATATTAAGGGAGAGTCTATTTTCTCCTTATTATTATTATTATGTATTATTTCCCTTATAGTGTGCTATTTAGTTTATAGCCGGTATAGAGGCAGCTCTGAAGTCTAGAAAGTACTTTAAAATTGTCAATTCCTTTCAGAAGGCCTTCTCATTCAAAGAGCTGCAATTCATGCCTATCAGCCTCTAGAACTGAAAAGAATAACTATGGTAGCTGTCATACTTACCTTTCTTTACGTCTAAACGATTTAAGAGAGAATCCTACTAGATCAGCCTAAGATCTTTTTGGTCCAGTACTATTTTCCCAAAATTATCATGGACAATGTTAAGGCAGAATATAGTTGCCCTTAATCATAACTCTATTAGTATCTTCCTAAAGGCATTTCTTTAGAAATGATACATAAATTACCATCAAAGTTCTCTGAATAAATAGTTTTAATAAGTTTTTTCCTTCATTAATACAAGAATAAATCCTAACCAATCCATTTTACTGTGAACTAAACTCATAAAGAAAACACCTTGGTAACAGTATGAGTATATATAATGTAAAAATTAAAATAATCTTCATATTATATTGCACTATGTGCTCAAGTGACAGCCCCTTACAATCGGGCAGTAATCTGAATTACTTTCATTTAAAATTATATATTTGGAGTTTATGCCACATTAATTAATGATATAAAGCTATCTCATTTGGACCATTCAGAAAGTATTTAAAACATACCTGCATTTCTGGTTGTGAGATACATCATCTTCTTCTTTTTTTTGCTACTTATGGTCCCACAAAAAGGTCCTGAAGGGTGACAAGAGAAATATAACTTAAAACAGTATGTCAGAATATGATAAAACTGCCCTGTGATATTCTATAGGGGTGGGAGAATTACCTTTCCAGTGTTGTGTCCTACAAAGCAGAAGGGGGCAGAAGTGAGTTGAGCCACTAAATTGTGATACTATATACCAGCAGGTGGCACACAGGGATTAAAAAGTTTACTTTTGAGAGAGATACAATAAAGTAGATGGGATGGATTAATTTCAAATATATTTTAAATAAATTCTTTTGCTGATTCGGATGAAAGAGGAAAAGAAAGGTGACCACAAAGGACTACTTGTTACACTCTGTGTTGAGCTCCTCACCTGAATTGTCCCAGTCTCTTCTCACAAATGCCTTTCTCTTCTCTTCCAGGAACTGGCTTGGAATGAGACCAGCGCTTCCTCCCTCTTTTACATGGCTAGCCTAGAATCAAATCAATGAATTGCATATCTCAGTGACCAAAATTTAAGACCATATTCTAATGAGGAGGACAATCAATAGTCAGTAAAAATATAACACATTAGCTCTTCAAAACTGACCTTAAGATGTAAATCCATGGCATTGTCAGTTAAGATATTTAAACACTTTAGCACTAAGGAATCAACTGGCACCTAATCACTCTGCCATCTGGTATCAAAATTTTGGGACCAAAATGCAAAGGTATAGAGGATCTTTAAATTACTGGAACTTTTTATTCATAATGTTAAGTTAGTCTGAAAACAGAAAAGGATAAATACTATTTTATGTGTTAAAAGAACATTTCATTAGCACCCTTAATAAGGTACTTACTATCAACCTTAATCTTACTAGAATGATAGAATCTTAATATCCTAAGTTTAAAATAGGTAAAACTACATCTACTGTCAAGAAACTAAGTTTTGAAATCCAAAAAAGTGCTATTTTAAAATAGTGACTAAAGAACTGTGTGCTAGAGACTTATCCCATGAGGTTAGGGTTTTTTATATTTACAACTAGCACTGAAAAATTTGGTTATCATTTTTAGCCATTAAAATCCTAAAAAATAGAATTAAAGTAACAGATCACCAAATGCAAGAAGAGACTGAAATAATGGTGACAGGAGGAGAGGGCAGAACGAAGAGACAACATTCACAGAAAGGGGTAGAAAAGAAAGATTTCCTGGAAAAGTTCAATAAAGAAAACAGAAGGTGTTTTTTGAAGAGAGTTCTAAGAAATTCAGTGGAAACGTCTAGATCTCATGGATTCTTTTAAACTTACTTATGTTTTAGTTCTCTCACTGCATAATGCACTTGTATATAATAACGTCTTCATTTAAATTTAAGGACACATTAGTAAGACTATTTTCACTCTTGTTATTCACTCCCCCTTAGAAATCAATCAATATAACTTAACAGAGCTAATGTGAGTTACTAGTATCTCCATTTAATTTAGAGTTTATAGTGCTAGGTCCTGGGTCTTTTCCTCGTACACCTTCCTTTTTAATCACTTGTTCTGATGGTTTAAGTAATTTTAGACTTTCTGACTTGTCAGTTTCTCCAGCTTTGAATACTGTTGGTATTGGACAGTGTAAACAATTATAAAATCAGACTTACTTCTGCTGCTAGAGATTTCTAAAAGCTGTAGTAGGGGAAAGGAAAAAACATGACTGCAGAGATCTTTAGAAAATGAAGTGGGAGAAAATATGGTGATAACAAAATCCCTTTCCATATACACATATTTTAATCCAAGACCAACTAACACTAATCATAAGCTAAACTTTCATCTAAATAACTGAGGAGAGGTAGGGAAACAAATTTAAGAGCTTAAGAAATTTGTTTTTTTTTGCCATGAATGTATATAGAGGGAGAGGAGACAAGAGAGAAAGACACTACTACACACATAGTAAAAGACTTCTAGTTAAAATAATAAACATTGAGAAGGGATGACCCCAAGTAAGTTGTTCTTGACCAATACTATATTTTATTACAAATACTCATGTGGAAGAACCAACTATTCTAATCCTTAAACCAATGGAGTATCTCCACAGGCTAGTTAATTTTGCATTTAGTAACAGCTACTCACAAAGTCCCTCTTAATTTGATCTTTTCTGTCCACAAAATTAGCAGCCATGAAGCTGGAGCTGTCCAGGTAGGAAAAAATCATTGGAACAAATGCTAATACCTTCTTGAATAATATCGGCCAGATCTAAGATTGAAAACAAAAAAGCAGTTGTGGAAATTATGAGAAGCATACTAACCTGCCACCAGTTTGGATCTTCTCTGTTTACAATTTGAAGAATTTCTCCTTTCGAAAACTTCAATCCTGCTTCTTTGCAGGGTATCAGATTATCATTGTATGGATTATAATCAAAATGACATTTCACAAATACCTAAAACACACAGCACAATTTAAAGTAGTATGGATGTATCATTTGTCACTAGATTTTTTAAATCTTTTTCAAATTGTTAATTATAATTGAGAATTTATTTAGTACTTCAAATAAGGACCTTGTCCCACTCAAATAAAAATCCATTATTATGCATAAGTAACTTGGCATCAGAAAAGAAAATACTAGTACTACAATTAAAACTTTGTTTCTACAGTAAGGTCTAATCTTAAACCAACAGTTTGATAATCATTTTACTCCACCATTCTTATACTTTCTCTGAATCTTTTCACATGATTTTCTAACTCTGCATAATTTTTGTTCAATTAAATGATACTTTCTGATTAATACCCAGCAACAATATATGCAGCTGATTTAAGGCATATATTTCAGATATAACAGGACTTTTTTGGGGGGAGGTTGCTTTTTGAAAGAGCCCAGAAATCAAAATTAAACAATGAAAATTGATGTTGAAGTCAGACCTGAAATATATTTAGTAGCTCAAAAAAAAAAAAAATTAAAAACCTAATTTTCATCACTGGTAACATATGTTTTATAATCACAGATTTACACTGACCAAAATTTGTGTGGAAAATACTTTTCTGAAATCATCTTGCTTTGATCTAAATAACATTAAATTAACTGTAAGAAAAACACTGAAAAGACCTTGAAACTATTTCTCAATTTAAAGTCACTAAACTATACAAACTTCTTTTAAATATGTTTTATTAATAAAAGTATGCCAGTAAGTTACCACTATTAGTTATCTCCAATAACTGATCCAATAACTGGATCCAATAACTAGAATATTCTGCTTATTCACTTCAATGTAAATCCTAATAAGTTAAGCATTTTCAGTATTTGATGGCAAGTTCAGATTACTTTCTTAAAAAAGCTTTTTCATGCATATTTATAAAAATACAAACGTTGTCTACTGAAGAACTGACTTGGCATTAATCAGCAGGTGAACTTTAACAAGCAGCAAAGCACAAAATTAGTCAAAATAACATTGTTATCATACTTCTATAAATGTAACCAAGAAGATATTCAAGTAACACAGCAGATACATTATATTATTAGTGTGGTAAAACATAATGTGATGGATGCATATTAAAATAATTTAATAATTTAAAAGTAACTAATTTGGGAACATGTGACAAAATTTTAGTTATTTACAATTAGATGATTTTGGTAGAAAGCATTCAGAACATTTTTAATAACTTTGGAAAGGCTAAATATTATCTAAAAAATCAGTAAGCCAATTTTTTTTAATATAAAAATTTAGAAACATCTAAAAAGCAAGCATACAAACAATATTAAGATTGCTAAAATGTGACAAGTGGCTAACTTGAAAATGGCATGCAGCTCAATGTTTTGGTAATGGAAAAAGAAAACCCAAATTATTATTTAATCAAGGTAAATTTAGTTGGCTGATAAGGAAAAACGGAGTACCAAAGAATGTCCTGGAATGACATCATACCTGACGGACGTGTGCTGGATGCCTCTCCATATTGATGCAACTCTAAAAATATATTTTTCATTGCATAAATAAAGCCAGACTTTTAAATTGATAATAAATTAACAAAACATAAACAAACTACTGGCCCATTTTATTACTTCACTCATTTGGTAAAGTAACTATTTCCCTCATTAATTGTTCATAGGGTATAACACCTGAAAATTACAAATGATAGAAGCAAAAAGGTCGAAGTGTTTGTGATGAGGCAGAGAAAAAGGATGGGTATGCAAAGTTTTAAAAAAATACTTGGATACTCTTTACTTCTCAAGAAAGCTGCACCAAATGAATAATAAGAGCATCCTGTCATCTAACCAGGAATGTGTTTATCATTCTTATCTGTGGGACAACATACATTTTGTAGCCATAAATCCGGATTTTCTGAGGTAGTCTAAATTTTAAATAATTATTCTCCTATTCCCATCAAATTGTTTTGGAAATGTCATTATTTGTGGAACAAAACACATCTCTCAAATGTAAAACATTTCTAGAGGGAACAATTCTTATTATTTCACTTATTAAACTACTTTTAGAACATTCTCATGCTCAAAAACTCAGATTAGCCTGGTTTTACTTTGACTTTTAAAAATCTGTCTGAAAAATCAATTAACCCAACCTTTGATCTGAAGATTTTGTAATGATGTGAAAGTCATTAGAGTTCTGATCAAATTTAGTATCATTTTATTTTATTAAGTATATTGTAAAATGTTTTACTAATAGCTATGGATGTTAACAATTCATTATTAAGAAGTTATTAAACACTACTAAAATATTCAATCTCATATTCTTATCACTAAAAGAAAAACTAAACAACTGACAATCTAAAGTAGACGGAACAGAGAATGGGAAGTACAAATGGCTTTTAAACACAAGAAATGTTCAATGTCACTCAGAATAGAAATATGAATTAAAACTATATTATAACAACATTTTCTTCCTGCCGGATTAGCAGAAATCCAAATATTTGGTAAAATTCTATGGATAAGACTTTGAGTCAATAGGCACTTTCCTAACAGGTTAGTGGAGGATCTGGCTCGATCCCTTGGGAGAACAATTTGACAATAGCTATTAAATTACAAATGTAAAAATCTTCTCACCTAATAATCCACCTCTGGGAATGTATTAAGCAGCAATGCTGCTCAGACATATGCAAAATGTCTTATGTACAGGACTATTAACTACTAAATTAGTGATCAAAAGCAACCTAATTGTTTAATAATAGAGAACTGGTTAAATAAATGATGATAACCCTACATGATATAATACTATGCAGCTATTAAAAAGGGTGGGGAGGTGGTGATGGTGTCAAGAAGTAGTCTATGTACCAATAAGGAAACATCCAAAAGATACATGGTTAAGTGAAAAAACCAAGTAGTGTATATACTATGTAACCTTTTCATTGAAAAGGAGGTAGAACAGGAATAGTAATATGTAATTTTTACTTACTTGCACATGAATGATAGAAAGATAAACTAATAGCATAGTTTCTTACGGGGAGTGAGGACTAGGTTTATAGTGGATTATGAGAGATTTCAATTGAATACCTATTTATACTTCTTTAATTTTGACCATTGGAATGATTCACCTATTTAAAAATTAAATTCTCATGGTAATAAAAATAAGATAAAATGACTCACACTTCTGAATAAGATGAACCAATAAAGGACTGTGCAACCTGAAACAACTAAAATATTGGACAAAATTTGACAAAACATTTTTTAAGACATCAAGCAATGAAGTCAGTGATCCCTAAAAAATGGAAACAAGCAAGATGAACTATTCAGTTGCCCCTGCTAACTGCACAGAGAAAGTTCCCAGATTGCAACTCAGAAAGGAAGAATCTTAGTAGAGCCTGTGTGGTCTCCAAGTTGAGGAGATGAGCTGGGCGACCTGGGAGATCAAGGTGGCTGCAGCGTACAGAACAGAATAATCAGTGAGGAAAGGGTAGCATACTCAAGAACTGCAGAGCACTCCCTCCAGTCTTCAGGAGAGTACTGATCAGTGCATGGATATAACAAAACTACTCAAAGTCAGGTAAAGAACCTGCATGATAAGAAGCAATATCAGCAAGTCATACAGGGTCAGAAATAATTTCTTTTCTCATCAAGATGAGTGGAAAAATCTCATAATTCATGAGGCACTGAGTAGATGGAAGGATTATGCCCCAGACTTAATCCTGCCCTGGCTGTACCTAAAAAAGCTTAAAAAACAAGATCTGAAAGGATCAAACTGTTCCCAAGTAACTGAAGTATTCTAGAACAAAGTTTAAAAATTTTCTAAAGAAACAAAAATATCCAGCTTTCAACAAGTAAAATTCATGTCTAATAACCAATCAAAAATAATATAATTTACAGTGTGGAGAAAAATCAATTAAGAATGATCCAGAAATGATAAACATAATCAAATTAGCAGAGAAGGACATTAAAATAGTTATTTTAACTTTACATATTGTATTCTTAGGTTCAAGAAACTAGAGGAAGGACTAGGCATGTTAGGTAGAAACATGGCAGATTAAAAAAAAAAAAAAGAAAAGGAAGACTCAATTTAGATTTCTAGAGATGAAAACCAAAATAAAATGGAAAAAGTACACCAGAAGTGACGAACAGATTAGACATTGAAGAAAATAAACTTGAAGATACAGCAATAGAAACTAAGATAAAAAACAGGGAAGTATTAAGATTTAAATGAAGAGAATCACTGAGAAATGGGACAATTTCAAGAAGCCTAATATATGCAGAAATGATGTCACCAAAGGAGAGAAGAAATGGGAATAGAAAAATAATCTGAAGAGGTAACAGTCAAAATGTTTCCAAATCTGATGAAAGAAATAGTCTTTTCAACAAATGGGGCTGGAAAATTATTTATCTATATGCCAACCCCCATTTGTCCATATCTTAAACCTATACAAAAACTCATACACTGAATGGATCCTATTGCTAGATATAAAGCATAAAACTATACAACTTTCAGAAAAAATATCAAAGAAAATCTTTATGACCTTAGGTTATGCAACAATATTTTACACAGAATAATACAAGCATGATCTGTAAAAGATAAACATGGAAAAATTGGACTTCATCAAAATTAAGAACTTCTGCTCTTTGTATTACACAGTTAACAGAATGAAAAGAAACAGAATGAAAAAAAAATGAAAAAAACAGAATGAAAAAACACTGTGAAGAAATCCTTACAAATCATAATTCTGATAAAGTAGTTGTATTCAGGGGAGCCTGGGTGGCTCAGTGAGTTAAAGCCTCTGCCTTCAGCTCAGGTCATGATCCCAGGGTCCTGGGATCGAGCCCTGCATCGGGCTCTCTGCTCAGCGGCGAGCCTGCTTCCCTCTCGCTCTCTCTGCCTGCCTCTCTGCCTACTTGTGATCTCTGTCAAATAAATAAATAAAATCTTAAAAAAATAGTAGTTGTATTCAAAATACATAAAGAACTCTCAAACCTAAATTAAGAAAAATCTTAATAAAAAATTGTTAAGATTTTAAGACAATCACCAAAACAGACTTAAAAAAAATACACACACACACACACACACAAATAAACACAAAGAAAAGATACTCAATATTAAGTAGTCATCAGGGAAATGCAAATTAATATCATATTGAGTTATCACTACACACCTATATGGGTATCTAAAATTATAAGGACTGACCATACCAAATGTTGGTGAAGATGTACAGTAATTGAAACTCTCAAAATGCTGGGTGAAAGTACACTGGTAAAAGCATTTCTGGAAATAGTTCAGCCACTTCTCTGAAAGTTCAACATATACCTACCATGACCCAATCCTTCAGTTCCTAGGTAGTCACCCAAGGGACTTACATGTAAATGCCCACGGCATCTTTATTTATAATAGCCCCAAAGTGGAAATAACAAAAATGTTCATCAGCCAGTTAATGGATAAACAAACTATGGTATAGCCAAGCAATGGAATACTACTCATCAACACAAAGGAATCAACTGCTGATACACATAAAAAGATGGGTAAATCCCAAAAGAATTATGCTGAAAGAAGACAGATTAAAAAAACAAAACAAAGCAATAAAACCCAGCAAAGGTGATTCATGTTGTATGCTTCCATTTATATAAAAATAAGGAAAATGTAAACAAAACTATAGTGACAGAAAGCAGAGCAGTGGTTGCCTGGAATGCAGGGTGGGGGGAGGAAGAAGGAAGGAAGAATTATAAATGGATACAAAGAAAATTCTGGAGGTGCTAGATATATATGTTGTCTTGATTATGTTGTTAGTGTCACAGGTACATATATCTACATTTATCAAATTGTACACTTTAAATATATGCTATTTATATAAGCTTTTTCTCAAGAGTATTTTTTAAAAGTAAATATAAAAATTTTAGAAGTACTGAAAAAATAAAATATTATACAGGACTATGCTGGGCCTATTAAAGGATAATAATTAGTAAGAGAAAAGAAATCAAATGGATGAAATGGCTTTAGAAATAGCCCTACCATAACCTTTATGTTAAATCAGAAGGTGGTTCGAAATTTGGAAATATGTTGTCTGAACATAGTGCAGGTGTTCTTTATGCACCCTCGGTCTCAACACATATTTTCAGGTCTATTCAAATTTGCAATTAGAGCAAGTGACAACGTGGTGAATGCAGTGATCATAGTTGCTATGAAGTTCACTGTGACAACAGCAGAGATGATTAAGGAAGGATGTTATTCTTCTAAAGATTTTCAAAGTATATGAACTCAGCCTACTCAGTTAAATGCAGTCACACACATATTTTCAATCAGCAGGGAGTCTAGAATAGATTTGTTTAAAAAAGCTTTGAGGGGCAATTCATACTCCTATTTGGTAAACATCCATCTGTGGGCCACAAATTTAAGTTTCTGTCAAAGAGTTTATTTTAAAAAACTATTAAATTATTCAGAATTATACTACTAATAATAATTCTTAATTTATATCACACTTAAGTCACTGGTTCATGCAAAGCCTATTTTTATTTTATTCCTTTTAAAAACATGATAAA